CATAGTGATCCTCCTGTTTTCAGCCTCCCAAATGCTAGGATTACAGGCAAGTGCGCCATCATACCCAGTCTAAATTGCCTGTGCCCTGGGGGCAGGGCTGGCATGGCACCCTGGGATCGAACCCCAGTCCCTGCATCTTCCTAAGCCGGTGCTTTAATCTGCTGAGCTATCTGGCTGGCCCATACTACTTGATTTTTTTTATTTAAGACATTCACCATCCACTTGTTTAGGAGGTAACAGACTGTGACATATGTTCTCCCAATGTACCGCACTATTTCATATTATGTTTATGACTGATTATGAATAGATTTGAGAACCAGAAAGTACCTATTGCACCCCTAGTAATTAGCAGTCCTTGATATGCACTAAACATACAATAAATAAGGTTTGCCCAAGCAACCTCCACCTATATTTAATCTCCTAGAATCTGGAAATCTATGTAGGTAACATCCCACTTTTCCAAATCTTCTACATACATAAATACATTAATATGACTATATATAATGTTTTTACTCAAAATCAACTAGGATAGTAAAAAATTATTTATGAATACCTAATTTGTTCATACCAATATTCAAGATCAAAGTATCAATTTTATGTAATTCTAACGTACTCAGAAAAATATGCATCCAAATATAAATGATTAATTTCCAAGCTACATTCACTAGAAGTACTTAACGTACTTTATTTTAAAGATAAGGGCAGGATTGGGTCAGCCAGATAGCTCAGTGGATTAAAGCGCCAGCTTAGGCAAACGCAGAGGCTGAGATGACCAATGAGACTGGGAATGGTGGCAAGCACCTGCAATCCCAGCACTTGGAAGGCTGAAAAACAGGAAGGATCACTATGAGTCCAATCTGTGTAGTGAGACCCTGTACTAAATACATTAAAAAAAAAAAAAAAAAAGATGAGGGTAGGCTATAGCTCAGTAGCAAAACACCTGTCTGGCAAGCACAAGGTTCTGAGTTTGATTCTCAATAGCAAAAACAATAAAATAAAGATGACAGAATAAAATAAACAATACTACAATAATATAAAATTGAGACAAATATAGCTTACTCAACGCAGAGCATAAAGTAGACACTGTTATCAATGAATGTACTCTATAAGACCATCTTAATGTGAACAGTTAAGATTTGCTGAAGAACATGAGCCTTACTTGTTCATTAACTTTCTTCTCCTTATTCAGTTCCTTTTCTATGTCCTCCAGTTCTCTGTCTTTTTGTTCCAATTGCTTTTCAAGTTGGCGAATTTCATCACGTAAAAACCTAGTGTCCCTTCCTCCTGCAGACTGCTGAGCCATCTTAAAGTGAAAAACCAAAGCATAAATTAGTTCCATTAAATTGAGAGGTTAAATGGAATCAACAAGCAAATAACTATCTTTATTTAAAGTTTTTACTATGCTTCAACACCAACTGTTTAAAATTATACACTTAAGGACTACTTTAAAAAATAATCTAGTATAAGTTTTAGTACACAGGCTTACAAACGTTTAGCTTTCCCAGAACCAGTGAGCTCTAAACAACTAACTGCTAATCCCTCAGACTCCCTCAGAACCACTCAGGCAACCAATCTTGATGTCTCTACCTATTCATCTTTCTTCATCATCACTTCAGGCACTGCCCTACCTTGTTTCTCTCTAGCAACTGCCTGGTGAAGGAATCAACCTAACTTAATAAACCACTTATCACATAAATGTTCTCTGAAAGTGTTTGTTTGAAATTTTCCCAGCAGAAAACAAGACCACCCAAGTTCAAAAAGAATCAGGACTGGAACTCAAATGCATCTGACTCCAGACTCATAATGCTCTCATCCCTTCTCTATCTCATTTCAAACTTTACCTGAAATCCTCAGAATTCAACCCCCCCCCACTGTTACTTTTTATCAAATCATCTCATCTTCAATCTTGCAATTTTGAACCACTAGACCTAAGCCACATACCTTTCTGCACACATCCACTTTTACTTCTGTTCTATTAAAAAGGAAGAGAGCCTTCCTCCTTCCAAAGGCTAAGCCCTGTGGATCACATTCCTTCCTTCCTTCTCAGGAATCTCATGGATTTAGTTTCTTGACAATAAACTCACATTTTAGCCTTCGGCTTTGTAAAAAAGTACTTTACTTAACTACATCCTTCAACCATTACTCCTCAATTATCCACCCCTCCTCTAGACTTACATCTGTCTAGCTGTTAAGGGTTTTATCTTGTTTGCAATTGAAATACTTAATCCTTAGCAGAAAGCAAAGCACATGAAAAGTATGTAGCATACTGACCAAATATAACTGAGCACACAACATCATTCTTGTGATCTTTCAACACAATAACAAAAATTAAAAGTAATTCCAAATAAAATAAGAGACAAATACAAAAGGACATACCTCCAGCTCATTTTCTAGTTTCATTACTTTCGTTTTGAGTTGATTTTCTATTTTTAAAAAAGCCAAATATTTCAATTGGTTAGATCTACTTCAAAAGATTAAAATAAATCAATAAAACACCAAAATTAACTCAAGACTGTATCATGATTCTAATAATAAGATAACATAAAAGTGATCACTACATACCAGATCCATGAAATCAGAATTCTAGAAATGTCTTTTGAAATAAATTGAATACACACATTTTATAGACCAGGTTAAATATAATTTTCTATTGCTTTACAATAAATGGAATTTGTGAGCACCACAGTAAACTTTTTTCAAGCCACTTACCAAATTTTGCTTGTTCTTCTCCTGCTTTCTCAACTTCTTCCAAAGCTAGCTCTACTTCTTGAGCTTTCATCTAAACATTAACAGAAAAAAGCCATATTTATATACCTTTACCCTTTTATATGAACACTAAAAATAAAAAATTTATTTTACTTCTATGCCAATCTAATAGCGATGGTGTCATAAGTAAACATTCAGTTATTACTTACTGAATGAATAAATGATTTTCTTCCTGGATGCAATACCTTCTAGGTTTGCAAACATCTGAAACACTTTTTTTCCCTTCAAATCTTATATCCAGCGTTACTATTACTGAACTCTTTGTAATGTCTTTACTACGGTACTTCTTTCTATTCCACTTGTTAATACGCTATTCCATAAATTTACATTTCAACTTCTTTCGAATGTTTTGGCTAATCAGCTGCAATTCCCTTCCATCTGTTTTATGGAAGAGACCCAGTTTTGCCTTGCTACAACATATTTTTGTATATATGAATTATGGTTCAAAAACTTCTACTGGCTTCTCAGTTGTAGAAAGCATAAATACATCTTTAAGGCCCTTAGTGAGCTATCTGAAACTCCTGTTTCAATATTGCTTTTTATCTACCACCTGCTATAAAATTTCTGCATTTTTTGTTCTAATGCAAATAAGTCCTACCCTTTATGATAACCACGGATCTAGAAAATCCTTTCAGCATCTTACCAGTGCCCTGCATTGAATTTAACACTACTATTCAATCTTCCTGGTTTACGAAAACTTTCCAGTTGGCTTAAATCACTTCCCCGCTCCTCTACCCTGGAATCTTTAACAGCTGCCATGGTTTAAACATATCTATTGTATTTTTCCTACACATTTCTTTTAGGAGTTTTACAGTAAAAACTAGTTATGTTTTGCACACTACAACTCTGAATTCACATGTGAAGTTAACCTCTTGAGTGGTAATCTAGATATTATCAAGCACTTTCCTAGAAATTACCTTATATAAAAATATACTTTAAAATTTCCTCTAAGAATCCAACTTACTATTAAAATCTACCACAAACAAACCTTCATTAATGATTGAGTAATCCTGAAAAGATGTATCACATTTTCTTGATTTTCATTTTTTAGGTCATTTACTTCCACCTACGTAAACAAAAAAAGCAACTATTTTATAATCTTTAATCAAAACGTAAGAACTACTCCAGTAGCAACTCGAATGATACTTGCACATACGTATAAATATCTGTATCTTATCAATCAAGTACCTTGGATAAGGAAATCAATAAATTCTCGGCCAGTTCTTCCTGACGAGGTAGTTCATCTGGGTCAACTTTGATTAGTTCCTTCAAGTTTATATTGGGCGGCATCTTGAGTCCTTTTACTCTGTTCCACCTACTGTAACAGACCAGGTGGGTATCAGCATGCTTACGGTAAATATTACTGTGTTTACAGTATCTTTATGCCTAAGATTAAAGAGCTTTAGCTCCTTCAGCACTAGGCAGATACGTGGACAAAATATCCTTGATCAAAATTAGAGCACACAGCACAGACCATCACACTGTACCAGCTAAATAAAATAGGGCGATTTGTTTGCTAAGATTTACGCAGCTCAAAACTAAGCTTCTGAATTCGCGCACAAACACTTGATAAGGGAGGACACGAGGGCCATCCGGAGGACTGGAAATGATCCCTGATTCTCGGGAACAGAACTGTTTTTGTTTTGGAAGTGTGCAAGTGAAAGACAGAAATGGAGAATGTTTTGCAGAGGAAACCAGGGCTGCAGCGACACCGCGCAGGATCGGGGTGCAGGACCAGGAGGGGCGGAAGGACAGGCTGCTGCGTCTGGGCCTCGGGCGGCTCAGGCTGAAGCACCTGCGGGAGGAAAGACGCGCCGCTCCCGCTGACCACGTCCACCCACTTAGACCACGCCTGGCGACAGCGGCCGTCCCACCTCTACCGCAAACACCACGCTGCGCCCGGCCGCCGTCCTGACCGCTGCCCAGCACTCTTCCACGCCGACTCTGCGTCCCGCCAAGTCGCGAGCGGGTAAAAGCGGCGGCGGCTGCTAGGCGACACCATTCCCCACCCAGCCAAAGCGGAAGTGAGGTCCCGGATGCCAGGCAAGACTACATTTCACGACAATACGTCCTGCTTCACGTTTACAATTCCTTTCGGGGCTCTGGACGAAATTAAAGACTAAGTAAAGGCGTGCGGCCAACGAGGACTCAAATTCCCAGAGTGCAATTCTGTCTTGCAGCTGTGCATGCTGGGAACTGAAGTCCTAAGGGACGGCGGGAGGGCGTTCCCGGCGTGCAGTGCGGGTGCCTGCGACTCTTCGGGAGAGGCCGGAGAGCGACCCGGAGGCGCGAGCTGTGGCGGCGGAGGCGCGCCTGAGCTGGCGGCTCGTGCGAGCTAGAACATGACTGTGGCTTCGGCGGTGTCACTCGCTGGGCCGCCCTTCCAGAGCTTGTCCTAAGCCGTCCGCGGGGGGTCCCTTCCCAGGTGAGGTCGGAGGAATGGCGGGATGTGGGCGCGGCTTTGCGAGTCTGCAGCCCGGGGGACTGGCGAGCCGGGCCGGGCTGGACCGCGGGAGGACCGCACCCCCTGCTCCTGGACGCGGGCCGGGGCGGCGAGGCAGCGCCCCCGGGGCGACGGAGTTTCTGCCCCGGTGGAAACCGGCTGGGCGTCCCGGCCGCGGATTGCGGGCGAGGGAAGGATCGGGAAGGGCCGCGCCGGCCACCCGCCCGCCCGCCCGCAGCGCGGAGAGGAGGCTGGGGAAGCCGGAGCGGGGCCGGGCCGCGGGGACGCCGCAGGCCCGCGCTGTCACCTCCTCCGAGGCCAGAGGGCCTTGGCTCCCCTCGCTTCGCTCCGCTGTTGTCAACCGTTCTTCACCACTGAGTAACTTTCCTAGGGTGCTGGGGGGTGCACATGGAAGCGACGTTTCCAGCTGTGGGCCGTGCCTCTTACCTTAGGTCTGATCTGTACAATTCTATTTGGCAGTAAATTTTTCTTTCGAAAATAGTTTTCAGAACTACGGTATTAGGTAATAGAGCTTGTAAGAAACAAGTACTGATCTTGTGAGATAAACTTAAAAGACTTTATTCCTTTCCTGAAAGATTCTGTGACCTAATGTTCGTCATCTCATTTATTCTTCACCACAATCCCGTGCAATGGGTGCTGGCGATGCCTTCCTTTTCCGTCTCAGGGAATTGACTGCGTGTGATAACAGAACTTCTGGGCTGCAGGTCGGCTGTACTGCCGCCTCAGACATCCTGGAAACTAGTAACAGTGAAGGACTTGCTCTGCAGTTTGTTCTATTAAAATTTTAAAATTCAAAGTTTATAACTTTCTTTAATCATGGTTTTGAGTTAAAAGATTTCTCACCGTCAGTGTTTTTAATTTAGAACTCAGCAGAGAATGGCAAAGATGAAATTTAGTATTTCTTGAGCACGTATTATGTCATACAATACTGTTTCACTGCTGTGTATTTCATGTTTAGTTTTTTATTTTTATTTATTTGTTTATTTATATTTTTTTGCGGAACCGCGGATTGAACTCAGGCCCTTGCACTTGCCAGAGAAGTGCTTATTCCACTGAGCCATCTCCCCGGCCCCTCATGTTTAGTTTTTTAACTGTAGCATTTTGTTTCTTGTTTTTTCATTTATTTTGCATTTACTTTTATTTGTACTGAATATTTCTACCCCTACTTCCCTCACTTTCTTTGTATTTCTTAGCAACCCAAGATACTTGGTCTTGTCTGATCTAATGGTAAATTTTATTTGCATTTTATAAAAATGAGAATAAAGTCAGAAAAGTTAAATAGGTTTCTAACACTAGTGCAGTCCTGACTCAAACAAGAATTGCTTAAATGTTATTCTTTAGTCCTAACAGTATTACTGAGCCACACACTGATGGACACTGGGGATATAGTAGAAAATAAGTTACCCATGGGTTTCGCTCTTTATGCTTTGTAATTAGTGTCTGTGAACCAGGAAATTTGCCTCGGGTTCTAGTTCATTAATTCAAGATCTAATTTTGAGAAAAAAAAGCTCAAACACTCTGTTATTGTTAGATTCTCTGCATCAGCCAATTTTCATTAAGAGATGAATTTGTGATCATTTTATAAATATGTTTAATAGGATCAGTTCCCTGGACTGGCCTTATTTATCCTTTTAGGAACAATTTTACCTAACTAAAATCTCTTCCTTGGATAGTGTTGCCTTTTATAATTACTGTCTGTTTTCTGTATCAATTTATGTTTGGTAGAGGAAACTTCCTTTTCTTTGACTTATCAAGAAAATGAATTGTAACTTAGTTTTCTAGCCTTTAAAATAAAGCATGACCATAAGTAATTTAGTATCTACTGTGAATAGTAAAGGTTTTCTTTAACCTTGCTTTCAGGGAAAGAATGAGCATGCAACAAGCAGATACTTGTCTTTCTTCAACATGAAGAGACTAGAAAAATTAGTAGGAGTCAAGGTGAATACAGACTTGCAACTGCTGGCCACAGTTTTACAAACATTTATTTTTCATTTTAGTTTTTTTTTCAATGATCTTTATTTTTATTTGTACATATTCACTGTACACAGTGATTCATTGCGGGGAATTTTTTGTGTGTAACAAAGCTTAATTCTTTGTCAGTCTCCTTCCCCACTCTTCTGTCTTTCCTCTTTCTTCTTCTTAGTCCCCTTCCATTTGCAAAAGATCTATCTGTCTCTGTTTCCTATCACAAATTTTAAAAAAGTAAGTTATGATATATTGATATGAAAATGCAGAGATCATAATGAATATGTCCCAGAAAGTTGAACTGGAAGGACTTCCTAGGCTAACTATTTCTAAATCATACAAAGTTTTTCCATGGGTTTACCTTTTCTACAGTTACATTGCTAGTTATTAAAAAAGTTCATCTCTCAATACATTTGTATTTGGAGGAATTGTTTTTTTATGTTTCTGTAATGCTGTCTTCATTGATGAATGGTCTTCAGTTGCATTTGAATTTTATAGACATTTTTATTAGTAAATAATCAGTCATCCCAACCAACTTGTATTCTATGCATCTGAATGTACTTGTGTGCCTAGAAAAAAATAGGTATTTTTACCACTAACAACACTGGCCTGCTTTGTATTTATATTCTTAGCAATCCAGTGCAATTACTATTGCTAATTGTAACCCCTGTGCATGCTGTCTCCCATTATCGACAGTGTTTGACTCTTTTCTCCTCCCCCTATACCTTGCATGTGCTTCTTGGACAGAGCCTAAGATGACGCCACAGCTGCGTTTATGACATGCAACAGGACTGGCCCTCTCTTTTTTTCATATTAGTTCCTTGGGGAATCTTTTAAAAACTCTGTTATTCTGTCTTTGTATATAATCCTTTCCATGTCACTTTTAGATGCTTTACTACACTGCTTGATAATTAAAAAAAAAAAAAATGCAGAAACTGATTGCAAACAGAAAAGGGCTTGTTCATTGAGTCTTTCTCTCTTGCTGCCCTGGGGTCACCATTTCAAGAAGCCCAGACTAGGGGCTGGTGAGATAGCTTGGCCGTCTAAAGTGCTTGCTTAGGCAGGCTCAGGGACCACAACTGGACCGCATGCCACAGGAGACCCGCCCCTAGGACAGGCTGAGCTGGCCAGAGACCTAGTGTGCTGGCTGGGAGTGGGGTACTCCTGTAATTCTTGTGCTGAGGAGGCTGAAGACAAGAGGATCACTATGAGTTGAAACTGCATAGTGAGACCCTGTAACAACCAAATACGTTAAAAAATAAATAAATAAATAAATAAAAAGCCCAGACTATCTTATTAAGAGCTGTGACTGTGAGTAGCAGAGATTGGTTTTCAAAGCAAATGCCTCTACTCTGAAAATATCCAGCCATGGTGGGGGTGGGGGTGGGGCAGAGCTGCTCCTGGTGTCTTAGCAGCAGGAAAGCAGAGAAAGTGAAGAAGAAAAGAACAGAAGTGGAAAAAAAGAAAAAAATTCTAGTGTTAGTAAAAAACGATTTTATTCCTGTTCTTTTTCTTTTTTAAAATCCTTTGTTTGTAGTGTTGTAAAATAATATCCGTGCCTAATAGGAGAAGTCCTATAAATATCTACACAGACTTAGTTGTCTTTTTTTTTTTTTTTTTTTTTTAACTATTGCTAGGAATTAGACCAAGTTTATACCCTGGCCACATCCCCAATGACCTAGCTCCCCCTAAGCAGATCCAACCTCATATCAGCAAGTCAGCTATAAAATCATCAGTGTCATCAGCGGACTAGCCTACTGATAACTGCCAACCCCATGATCCAGTCACCTTTCAAATGTGAAGGCACCTAGAACTATAACAACTCCCAGGTTCTCATAAACACTCTAGTGCTACTTATAAACTAGGCTAAATTCTCATACTTTTCAACTGAAAATCCTAAATCAGAAATGTATAGTCAATAATTTGTTATATGCTATATATTATTATACATTTTAAATTACATTATGAAACTAGTTTGTCCATCTCCAGTATATTAGATTCTGTAAATATTGCAAATATTGAAAGTCATATATATGTGTATATATATATATATATATATATATGTACTTGTGTGTGTTTATTGTTTCTAAGCATAATTTAATACATTAAAGCCGAAGGTTCAGTTTACTTTTTCTTTCATTAATTTTAAAACTCCTTATTGTTAAAACATCTGGTCAGACAACCAGTTTGTCACCAAAAGGGAATTGATATCACTATGTTGGGGACCTGAGGTTATGTTATGGGAAAGAGGTGCCTGGCCTATCTACACAATGTGATTTTTATCTGCACAGTGATGGATGCCTGAGGGGTTTTTTTTTTTTTTTTAGTTTTTTAAATTACAGCTTATATGTAAATGTACTTTATATATGTCTGTATAGGTATAGACGTGATTTGAGTGTATATTACATTAATTATTTACCACAATGTGTTTAAATATAGCAGGTAATTCTAGTAATCCTACCTTCTTGGGCCCATCATACCTTTTTGACCCCCCGTCATGGAATGGTTGGCAGACCTGCTCGCATGGTTCATTCTGGAGATTTCTTTTATTGCTATCTAATGCTGGATCCTAGTCCCTAATTTCATTGTCTTTCTGCTTTTTAGTTATATCACTTCACTGGAAACCCTCTTTTTTTAAATTTCTTAAAAGGACATTGAAAGTATATATTTAAAGCCTTGAATGCCTTAAAATATTTTTATTATACTTTCGTATTTGGGAAAAATTTGATTTAGGAATATAAAACTTGGAATTGGAATTCACTGTTTCCCAGAAATTTGGAGCATTGTTCTTCTTGATGTTTTCCTCATGCTACATAGTGTTGGTAAAAATAATAATAATAATTTGTTTGAATTCCAAATTATTTTTAGAACCTTCTGTTTTAATTGTTGTAAAATTTTATAGCATCCTGTCCCTAAAGAAAGCTGGAAAGTTGAAACATAAACTATGTAGGCAGACTTTTATTTTTATTTATTTGTTTTATTTATTTATTTGTAGTACCGGAGATTGAACTCAGGACC